CTCCGTGAGTATCCTTCGCCATTCCGTATTCCTATCCTCCCCACTCTCGGGTGCATCTGCGCCGCGGTCCATACGTGATGGCGGCCCTGAACCGAAGCCATCGAAGGCGTCGACAGTACCATTCCCCGCATTTACACGCGCCCAAGCCAGACTAACTCCTAGCAGACATGCCGCTCAGTCGGCCGAGATAGACTGGCGTTGCTCAAGAGGATATACCTGCCGTCTTGAGATTCAGATACGCCTACCCAAGCACCCGATACCGGCAATCAGCTATCCAACAACGGGCGTCATGATCGTCGGTGAGGGTTACTGATTGTGAACGCTCCGAGTCAGGCATAAGTGGCGTACTATCATCCCATATCTCGTTCCCAGCGTCTATCGGTCCTTTCATGCATGGACGGACAATGTCACCCGAAGAGATTCAACTACATACAGAACTGATAACGGCGATTGTTTGAAGACGCGATAGAATCGTCTTTTGTCGCGCAACCTCACATTTCTAGCGACGAGGCGCATCACCTCTGTTCAGCTGAGGTCAACACTTCAACATCTCAACTTTGAGATAACCAATCTCCAAAATGGCCAACAGCTTCATCGCCTATCTTCGAGGCGACCAGAATGCGCCAGGCGAGCGCAAGCTGGTGCAGAAGCTCGACTTCTTCATCCTTACTTTCTGCTGTCTCATGTACTTTTTGAACTATCTTGATCGCACAAACCTCAACAATGCGTATGTTTCTGGCATGAGGGAAGAGTTGAGCTTCAAAGGCAACCAGCTCAATCAAATCAACACCGTTTTCACTGTTGGGTGAGTGAGCATGAAAGGAAAAAGACACGAGAAACCTCTACTAATTGTCACAATCTTCAGATACACCATAGGCCAAGTCCCATGCAACATAGCCCTCTACTACATCAAACCCCGCTACTTCTTCCCAGCATGCATGGTACACCTCTCTCTCTACCCCCCTTCACACTCACCGTATTCTAACAAACCCACACAGGTAGCATGGGCGGGCCTAACAATGGTAACAGCCGCCGCGCAAAAGCCGCAAGACATAATGGCCATCCGCTTTTTCCAAGCGCTATTTGAGTCCTCCACCTTTGTAGGAACCCACTACATCCTTGGGTCGTGGTACACAGAAAAAGAGCTAGGGAAAAGATCCGGCATCTTCACTGCATCGGGTTTGGCTGGCACGATGATAGGCGGGTTTATCCAGACGGGGATTCATAGTAGTATGGATGGGTTGAGGGGGATGAGTGGGTGGAGGTGGTTGTTTAGTAAGTTTTCAATACTATGCACACATCTACATAGACATGTATTAACATCTATCTCAGTAATCGACGGCATCATCACCCTCCCTGTAGCCCTCTACGGTTTCCTCCTCTTTCCAGACACACCAAGGAACACAAGGGCCCCCTACCTCTCCGCCACCGAAAAGGCCCTCGCCATATCCCGCGTCCCCGAAGTCAGCGAACGCACCCCAATTTCCTTCTCCTTCCTAAAACACTGCTTCTCTACGTGGTACTGGTATTTCTTCGTGATCCTGTGGATCCTCGCCGGAGAAACCGAATCCTTCAGCACAAACGCCCTGCTCCAATTGTACATGCGCTCCCATCCAACGGAAACATACACCGTAGCCCAGAACAACAACTACCCAACCGGAGTACCAGCAGTCGGCATAGCATCCACACTCTTCTGGGCGACCCTCACGGATTTCATGGGCGGAAAACGTTATCTAGTGGGTTACTGGATCGCAGCCACCGGCATCATAACTTCCGCGCTCATCCTCGCTTTTCCACACTCCACACCCATCCACTTCGGCATGTACTACTGGGCGGGCAGCGTGTACGCGTGTCAAGCCACGTTCTTCGCGTGGGCGAACGATGTGCTAAGGTACGAAGAAGATAGTCTGAGGGCCGTGGTGATAGCGAGTATGAATATGGGGAGCAATGCGATTAATGCTTGGTGGAGTATTTTGTTCTACGGGGCGGATATGGCGCCGTATTTTACGAGGGGCATGTGGGCTATGATTGCGGTTAGTATTGGCATGGGGGTGTGGTGTGCGGGTGGGGTTTGGTGGCAGAAGAGGGCGGAGGGGAGGAGGGAGGGGAGTGTTGTGCATGCTGAGGTTAGGGGGAAGGGGGAGGAGGAGGGGAGGTTTGCAGGGGGTGGAGGCGAGGCAGAGAAGGTATAGGGGGGCTTGGAGATAATGACGTTGTTGTTGTACTTCTACTTCGCGGCTCGGGGAGCTAATACAAACGCCTTGATAACGCCGAATTATTATGCAATCATACTACCATCCATCCATCAAGAGCACAAACACTATCCTATCCTGTGCTATCCTATCCTACATCCCTTATATCAACCCCTATGACACACCACCAAACCTCTGGCTTGCCCTCCCGCCACGCATACTATTCATGAAATCAGCCGAAGGATCACTGCCCAGTCCATTCCACCCATTAGCACCAACACGCTGGCCCTCCCTCTGCGCCTTGTTAATCTTCTCCTGGAGCTGTGAGGCCCCCGAATCGATAAGCTGAAGCTGAGCAAGCTGTGTGTTGAGGACGCGGACGACTTTCGTGAGGGGATCGTCTGGCTTGCCAGTCTTGCTGAGCGTCTGTGATGTGTTGTTGATTTCTTCAATCATCTCCGTGAGGTCTTTGTTGAGTTCGTTGAGGCGGTCTTGCAGTTTTTCGGCGAGCTTGTAGCTAGGTGGTTGTTAGTCATTGTGCAGATTTTTAACGGTAGAGATACAACTTACGTCCTCTCGCGCTCTTGGTCTGGGCCGCGTAGCGTCTCGTTCTTGCCGCTGACACCGTGCATCTTCATGAGGTTGTCAATCTCCTTCTCGTAGCGGTCGAGGTAGGAGTCGAGCTCTTGCTGGTTCTCCTCCATCATCGTTAGCTGCCTCTCGACTTCGGCGGCGTCACGCTCGGCTTGGAAGGTCTTGGAGTAAAGTTGGCGGACTTTGTCGGAGTTCTCGACGAGCGCCCTGTCCCATGATGCGACTGTCTCGGCTTGCGATTGGAATTCCTTCTGGTACTTGGATAGGTCGGCAGCCCAGCGGGTGATGATCTCGTCCATGGACTTGTTCTTCAGGCGTGATTGCGCTGAAGGTGCAGGTCCGGCAGTTGACGCAGCAAGTCCGCTTTGGCCTGCATTGTTTCCGCTTGTCGCTCCAGGGGCGGGAGTTGGTTGTGAAGTAGTGTTGGACGACGCTGCTGGTGCTTCGCTTCCTGCAGGCTTGCTGAACAAGCTGGGAGTGGCTCCAGATGTGGTGGTGGTAGCAGCTCCAGAAGCAGCGGACGTGGTGTTGCCGCCTCCCAAACCACTTCCTAGGCTGGGGAACAAGGACGTGTTTGATGATGCTGTTGTCGTAGGCGCACCGCTTGTTGCCGTGGTCGTAGCTCCTGTTGTTGCAGCGGTGCTAGCGGGAGCAGCAGGCTTGGGAAAACTGAAGCCACCGCCCGTAGACGCTGGTGTGGAAGCCCCCGCAGGCGAGAATAGGCTCGGTGCTGCAGAGCCAGATGACGCAGCGTTGTTTCCACCCAGACTGAGGCCCGAGGTTGCAGTGGGCTGCGTAGAAGCTGGAGCAGCGGATGTTGTGCCCAGGCTAAATCCTCCCAATGGCTTCGCGGGTGTCGAGGAGGGAGTGCTGCTGCCCAATCCACCAAAGAGACCACCTGCGGGTTTGGAAGCCTGCGCGTCTTGTGAAGCAGGCGCTGACGGACCACCTCCGAACAGGCCGCCCGAGGGAGTAGACGCAGGTGCAGCGGGCTTGTTCGCATCGCCCGAGGCGCCTGTGTTTCCTCCTAGGCTGAAGCCGCCTGAAGGCTTCGCGGCAGATTGTCCGGATGCAGCGCCGAATAGACCAGGTGTGGAAGACGCAGAGGTTGCTGCTAGCTTTTGGCCGAACAGCGAGGATGTGCCTCCGCTAGACTGGTTGTTCTGCCCGAATAGACTTCCACCTGGAGGTGCGCCGGCTGGAGTGGTGGAGGGGAGGAAAGACGTCTTGTTTGCTGCGGGCGTGGCTGTTGGTGTCGAGCCTAGACGACATGTCAGCAGTCGCGTTGGATGTCACAGAAATGCCCAGCTACTCACTACCTGCTCCGCCGAATCCACCAAATGGAGAGCCGGAAGATGCTGGCGCCGCGCCAGTTGAAGCTCCGCCGAAGAGTCCACCAGCTGGTTTCGGCGCATCTCCCTCCTTCTTCTGTCCGAAACCAAAACCGCCGCCGAAACCTGGTGTTGAGGATGGGGCGGGTGTAGCTGAGCCTCCGCCAAACAGACCACCACCAGGTTTGGATGCAGGTGTGTTGGATGCGCCGCCGAAAAGACCGCCTGAGCCGCCTGAATTAGCTGCGCCACCGCCAAAGAGGCCGCCGCCGCCGCTGCCAGCTGGTGTGCTCGAGGTGTTGTTTGCGGTGCCGAAGAGAGATGGCGTCGCGCTGCCAGTGGAAGGTGCAGCGCCAAACAGCGACTTCTGGGGAGTATTGCTGCCGCCGCTGTTGTTGGCAGCGCCGCCGAATGTGAAGCCGCTCATGATGGCGGGTGTGGAGGATAGCTCTGGTGTTTGTTGTTGATGGGCGGTGGAGCTGTTGTGGCTGGCGAGATATCGAGAACGCGCGAAAGTCTAGTCGTGTCGCGCCTGGGGATGCAATTGTCGGGCCGCTAATGGACGAGGTCAAAGAATTGCGCGTGGTCGTGTACTCTCCTCACGCGCATCGACGTCGCGCCCAAAAGTTAGACAAACAGGTGCAAGGGTCAGGGCTTAGCTCCGGTGAATTGTTGTTCCCACCTTCCCGCTGCTGGAGCGGCCAGACCGCTCGTCCCCGCTAATCGAGCGTGCCTGAACGACGACACGCTCAAGCAACGAGGCGCAGTCTCCTGTCGCCTTCGCAGATCATTCCTCCTCTGCCTCTATAACCGTGACCCAAGTCTCCACGACTTCTCCCACAACACACACCCCGTCAAGTATAGCAACATCAATTGCCTCGACATGCCGGACGAGCTAGCACCACCCCGCAAGAGCGTAGAGCTGGAAGACCCCGGCGCGAAAGAGCTGGGTATGTCGTCTTGCTAATACGGTGTGTTCATTCTAACATCACACAGCCGACTCAAGTGACGAGCACTTCTCCGATGCTACCGAAGGCCAGCCTGCGCGGTCGGACATGACCTCGCCCATTCCCATTACACGAGTCGAGCGAGTCGACGACGAGCCAGCCCACGGCGAGGTTCCCGGAACAGACGCATACAACATGCGCACCCAAGACGCTGTCCCCGACGAGGTTGAGATTGTCCCAGAAGGCGCACGAAGTCGCAGTGCCTCGCGCGTCAGCGTCAGCGACAGGCCTCTGACACCAGGAGGAACGCCAGTGCCAAAGACAATTGTCGAGAAGATCGACCCCGACCAGCCCAGCTACGGCGATGTTCCCGGTACACTTGCCCACCAGCAACGTCTGGCCGATGCTACGCCTGACGTGGTTGTCAGAGCACCGGAGGAGCCTTCCCAGGGCAGCAGCAATCCAGGTACGTAGGGCATTTCCTTGGTGCCTCCTGCGTACCATTGACGGAAGAAGGGTCACCAACCTCGCATGACAGGTCCCCAATAAGCCCGAGTGACGGCGCAACGGAAGCCGCACCTGAAACACTTGCCGAAGCCGACGCCGACGCCTCGATCGAGCAAGACGACGACTTTGGCAATGCCGACGGTGACGACGATGGTTTTGGCGATTTCGACGACTTTGAAGAAGGCGAAGAGGGTGACGATGATTTTGGGGACTTTGACGATGGGTTTCAGCAAGGCGAGGACGATGCAGAGACATCATTTGATAAGCCCCCAGAACAGCCTCCTGTACCTGTCCCCTCGCCAGGTCCTGTAAGTCGCAGCAATTCTAGTCCACATATACTACTGCCTGGTCCGCTTGCTGTGGTGACAATCTGACTAACCTCTCCTTCTACAGCCCGTCTTAGACTTTGACCAACTCACATCACTTGAAGATATCGTCTCAGCAACACAGCCATATCTTGATGACATGTACCCTGCACAGGACGGCATACCCACAATATCCACCAATCCCGAGGAAACGCGGTCCATATTCCTCTCAGAACGGAGCCATTCATTATGGACGCAATTAGTCGCACCGCCACCACTACAACCTCCCGACTGGGTCCGCTCACGCATACGGCGGCTGTTCTTGGTATCCCTAGGTGTACCCGTCGACCTTGACGAGATACTCCCCGCATCCAAACAAAAGAAGCTCATCCTCCCTTCAATACACATACCCGGCGGCTCGCCGCGCCCCTCTTCAGACGGTCGAAATAACGGCGGTCCCTTGGGACGCATCAAGCGCGAGAACGAATCATCCACTTCGGTTGACTCGTCAAGTTCAAAACCAGAGCGGAAACGCAAAGGACCGCCACCACCACCCGAACTGGACATCAGCAGTACCATGCAGCTTTGCGCGACAACAGATGCAGCACTGCAAGGCTTGACTGACGAGGAATTGAAGATGCACATCGACCACCTAAAGGGCCTGCAAGAAAGAGCAAAAGAGGTGTTTGAGTACTGGCAGAAGAGATTAGAAAGCGCACTAGGCGACAAGGACGCCTTTGAGCAAGTCATCGAGAGTCTGGTTGCGCATGCGAAGAAACTCAGGTAGCCAGTCTCATGTTTCTGAAATACAGTTTAATCATATTTCCATTGAGGCAGCCGTGTTTTGGAGATGTCGTTTGTATCTGACCCCTTGTGATTCGCCCGTAGATTCATTTCTTGGGTCAAGCGAACCAAAGTTGTCATGGAGCTCGCACATTCTAGTGCCAAAATGGGTGTAATAAAAGGGTGGGAGGATCTTTTCTTCTCTTGGATCATCTCTTGTAGGAATACACTGCAGGATCTGTCTCCTGAAATTTACAACTGCCGCCAGAGAAATTACCATGTCATATACTACTACCAGAAGGACTACCACTACCTTTACCACCACCTATACCAGAACCACTACAACTACAACTACAAATACCGCGGCTGCTACAAACATCACTGTTTTCACAACTCATACAACGCCTGCAAGCACGAACACCACCACAACCACAACCGCAACTATGCCGTACATCGAAATAAGCAACGACTCTGCCCGAGCGCGCACAGCACCCTATCCATCACGCGCCTCCTTCACAAACTTTGGCCTGAAACAAATCCGCACAGCTTGCCTCACCGCACACGAAGACAGTTGTTCAATCTGTCTCGAACCATATTCAGACACCGACCCGGCCACAAAGATTAACATATGCCGCCATATCTTCCACAGATCCTGTTTAATGACATGGTTGGAGTCATCATCAACATGTCCCATGTGCCGAGCAAAACTATTCGCTCCCGCACTGTCACCATATTGGTCCTATCACCCATTGCCTTCAATGCGGGACCTCCGGATTGATACTACAAGCAGCGCAAGTACGAATCCGAGGAGGAATTTGTTTGAGAGAAGGGGTGGGGTTGGGGGCGTTCCTGCGCTACCGCATGCAAGAACGGATACGGAGTTGTCGATGATGGTGGGGAGGGAGGAGAGGGATGGGCCGGATGCGTCTGATGCTTTGGCGACGTGGAGGATGGCGGCTTCTGAGGAGGGGAGGGAGGGGAGGGAGCAGGGGGAGACGCCTTTGGATTATTGATGGGGATGGATTGATGGGGATGGAGGGTGTATGACGACTTCTGAGGTGCATGGATTCTGCAAATGTGTTTTGAAGTTGAGAGATTCCGAGAGACTACGTTGTTGGAATGGATGATGTTTGATGGATTTCGATGTGCATGTATTCTGTAGGCATGGTCCGAGTTTGAGATCCTCCAAGAGACTACGTTTTGGCAACAGAGGATCTAGCACCACGAGTGAGGGATCTGTATTCTGCAAACACGTCATGAAATCGAGAAATGTCGGTCGATCGGCTTGCTCCTGGAAAGTAAGCGTAGAGACTACGTAGTCGCAAGAGAGGATGTAGCACAACTTGTTGGGTGTATGTATTCTGCAAACCCGTTTCTGAGTGAAGAATTTCCAAATTTAGATGGCTTCCTTGTGTATAGTGGAGGGGTCCCTAGGTGGATACATAGTAGGCAAAGCGTACTAATTCGTCACGATCCACATGACTGATCTTGGACATGTATATCGTGTTGAGTGTCGTGAAATACCTTGATGTTGCAAAAGCAAATCTAATTTCTGTAGGGTTGTCCGCTGCGTGGAACTTGCACCCGGGGCGAGGACCCGGGGAGTGTTCGGATGCGCCGACCGGGTTCCCCAATGTTTCCTTGCTTTGGTGCAACGGCGAGTCGATTTTGGACAGCGCAAGAACACGTCCTCGCATGTTAGCCAGCATGTGCCGGCATCCGCTCAGACACGCTTACTGCAGTCGGCCGGACGGCCGGGAGAGACCCTGAGCGAAGCGACGTGCTTTGTGAACAAGCGTACCCCACCGTACGCACCATCACAGAGCCCCTCTGTCAGCTGTCAGTCAGCGCACGATAAGATATGAGAGTATTGCGATCGATGGCGCTGAAACCACGGCACGAGTACGACAGGTGCAGTGACATGCAGATCAAACAGGAGAGCAGCGCAGAGCTGCCGTGGCCAAATTAGAGGCGCCTTCACAGTTGGCCGTGGGCGTTGAAGTCGCAGGTGTCCGCGGTGTGGTGCTGTGCTAGGCGATGCCTGTTCCGCGCGCCGTTAGCAGCGAATAGGGGTAATTTGCCACACTGGTGGGTGCAGGTGGCTTCGGTCGCACTGCCATTCGTCGCTCTGTTCGTAAACTCGTACGTGCTAGTCGATGGCACGCGGACGGGAAATGCATGGTCACACTTCATTTCGCGGGCCATGACGTCGGCGGTGTGCAGAGGTGTTGTGCTGGAGGGCTGAATTTGCGGTGGTTTGTTCACCAAGTGGCCGTTGGCAGCCATAGTCCGCCCTGTCCGTTTCTGAGCTCGGCCGTGCACGTGTGGACCCACCCGTGCAGACGTAGCGCTCAACTGTCATCTTCGCGTCCAGTCTGCTTTCCCAACCCGGCAGCATGTCGGGCAATCCTTTTGGCAGTGAGGCAGCATAGTGTAGCACGCTGCGTTGGGCTGGCGTGTTCCGTCTCTCAGTGCTCTTCCGCCGCGCTCCCTTCTGCTCCTCCATCGTGTGGCGTGCGGCTATTCTTCACGCTGCCTAGCTGCTAGATCCCATCCCGCGCTAGCCCTGTTTGAGCCATACTGGATATCCATTCCAGCGGGGCCCCTGCTTGCGCTTCCTCGATACCTCTCGAGTTCATCTCGCGATCCATCAGCATCCTCGCAGCCGTCTGCACCGGCAGACTCTTCAGTCCCTCCTTTGTCCGTTTCCGCCTGCCCTCGCACCGAAACTTGACCCGCCGCACTTCCGCCCTCTCCCCCGTTCCAGATGCGCACATAGCAGCCTTTTGAGCCTCGCACCCTTCCACCCGCCGCCACAATGGCCGCAGAGACGTACTCGAGCGTCTCAGCCATCATCCGCAACCTCGCCCGCCAACATGACCCCACGCGAGACCCCAGCTTCAGCGCACAGGTTTCGGCCAATGGAGCCAAGACGGCGGCCAACGCCATCGCTCTGCCGGGCCCGGAGAGCGAAGAGAAGACACAACTCGAGCAGGAGCTGTCGGCGCTCTGCTCAAGAATAGATTTCCTCGAGCACAAGAGCAGCCACGCCGCGACCAAGCAGGGCCAGTTCCCTCTGACACCCGCACAAGAGCCCCCGGAGGAGGGCGTATTATATACACAGGCCGGCGTCGTGCGCGGCAACAACGGCCCACCCGTCCAGGGCCGCCGGGGATCCAACAAGGAGCGCGCCATCTGGGTGTCCAACTGGCTCGCAGCCAAAGAGTCGAATGGCGACCCCGAGCAGCCCGCCGCAGCCCTCACCGAGGAGCAGCTCAACTATCTGCGCGTACACCTGAACCAGCAAGCCGACCAGATAAGGAACCAGCGCGAGCACATTGGTAAGGGCGTGCAAATGGAGTTGCATGCGCATATTCTGACATCAAATAGACAACCTGAGCCAGGAAGTGAACAAGCAGTTGACGACACAGAGCATGGTATTCGAACACGGCATTGAAGACATCGGCGCACTCAAGAGAGAACTCGGCAAACATCAACAGGGTAGGCTCTGCAGCCTCACATAGGCGTTGACACGGCTGACATGTTTAGCCAACTTGGCTTTCCAAAAGGCACTGCGGGAAATCGGCGCCATCGTCACGGCCGTGGCCATGGGTGACTTGAGCAAGAAGGTCTTGATCCATGCTAAGGAGATGGACCCTGAAATCACTCTGTTTAAGCGCACGATCAACACCATGGTGGATCAACTCCAGGAGTTTGCTAGTCAGGTTACATTCCTCGCCCGAGAGGTCGGCACCGAAGGCAGATTGGGCGGTCAAGCCAACCTACCAGGAGTTGCTGGTATTTGGGCTGAGCTGACTGACAGTGGTACGTTGTGATTAGGGTTCCACTATCGGCCCGATGCTAACGTGTCCTGCAGTTAATGGGATGGCCAAGAATCTTACCGACCAGGTGCGAGAGATCGCCGTAGTCACCACCGCAGTCGCCATGGGTGACCTCAGTCGCAAGATTGAACGCCCGGCCCGCGGAGAAATTCTGCAGCTGCAACAGACGATCAACAGCATGGTGGACCAACTGCAGTCGTTTGCGACTGAAGTATCCAAGGTGGCCAGAGATGTCGGTACCGAAGGAAAGCTCGGTGGTCAGGCTGAAATCGCTGGTGTCAAGGGCATGTGGAACGAACTCACAGTGAACGTGAACGCCATGGCTCAAAATCTTACTACACAAGTGCGAGACATTGCCCAAGTGACAACGGCTGTCGCGCAGGGTAACCTCACCCGGAAAGTCGAAGCTGAATGCAAGGGTGAGATTTTGGAACTCAAGAACACGATCAATCGCATGGTGGACCAGCTGCAGCAATTCGCCCATGAGGTCACCAAGATTGCGAGAGAGGTCGGATCCGAGGGTCGCCTTGGTGGCCAAGCTACAGTGCATGGTGTTGAGGGAACCTGGAAAGATCTCACTGAGAATGTGAACGGTATGGCCATGAACCTCACAACACAAGTGCGAGAGATCGCCGAAGTCACTACAGCCGTCGCAAGAGGTGATTTGAGCAGGAAGGTCAAGGCAGAAGTCCAGGGTGAAATTCTGTCCCTCAAGATTACCATCAACACCATGGTGGACCGTCTCAACACATTCGCACAAGAGGTCAGCAAGGTGGCCCGTGAGGTCGGCACAGACGGTATCCTCGGCGGCCAAGCGCAGGTCGACAACGTTGAAGGCAAGTGGAAGGACCTCACCAACAATGTCAACACCATGGCCCAGAACTTGACGCTGCAAGTGCGAAGTATCTCCGAGGTCACACAGGCCATCGCCAAGGGAGATATGAGCCGCAGAGTGCACGTGGACGCCGAAGGAGAGATTCGACTACTCAAAGACACTATCAACGACATGGTCATGAGACTAGACGAATGGTCTCTTGCTGTGAAGCGTGTAGCCCGCGATGTGGGCGTAGACGGAAAGATGGGCGGCCAAGCAGATGTAAGAGACATCGACGGCAGATGGAAAGAGATCACCACAGACGTCAACACCATGGCTCAGAATCTT